GCACTCCAGCCGGGGTGACAAGAGCAAAACTCCGTCTCAAAAAAAAAAAAAAAAAAGATTATGGCCAGGTGCTGTGGCTCACACCTGGTAATCGCAACACTTTGGGAGGCCCAGGTGGGCAGATCACCTGAAGTCAGGAGTTTGAAACCAGCCTGGCCAACATGGTGAAACCCTGTCTCTACTAAAAATGCAAAAATTAGCCAGGTGTGGTGGTGGGCACCTGTAATCCCAGCTACTCAGGAGGCTGATGCACAAGAATTGCTTGAACCTGGGAGGTGGAGGTTGCAATGAGCTGAGATCATGCCACTGCTCTCCAGCCTGGGTGGCAGAGTGAGACTCCATCTTGGAAAATAAAAACAAAACAAAAAAATAAAAATTAGGCCGGGCGCGGTGACTCAAGCCTGTAATCCCAGCACTTTGGGAGGCCGAGGCGGGTGGATCACAAGGTCAAGAGATCGAGACCATCCTGGTCAACATGGTGAAATCCCGTCTCTACTAAAAATACAAAAATTAGCTGGGCATGGTGGTGCACGCCTGTAGTCCCAGCTACTAGGGAGGCTGAGGCAGGAGAATTGCTTGAACCCAGGGGGTGGAGGTTGCGGTGAGCCGAGATCGTGCCATTGCACTCCAGCCTGGGTAACAAGAGCGAAACCCCGTCTCAAAAAAATAAAAATAAAAATAAAATAAAATAAAAATTAATCAGGCATGGTGATGCAGGCCTGTAATCCCAGCAACTTGGGAGGCGGAGGCAGGAGAATCACTTGAACCAGGGAAGTGGAGGTTGCAGTGAGTTGAGATCACACCACTGCACTCCAGCCTGGGTGACAGAATGAGACTCTAGCTCAAAAAATAAATAAATAAAATAAATATAAATAAATAAAAATAAAATTTTTTTGTAGAGATGGGGTCTGACTCTGTTGCCCAGGCTGGTCTCCAATTCCTGGGCTCATTAGATCCTCCTGCTGCGGCCTCCCAGAGTGTCAGGATTACAGGTGTGAGCCACCCCCAACCCCCAACAATGAAAGACTTTTATATTAGCAGTTTTACTGCCTTATAGACTTAATGAACCAAATGAAAACTGAATCTCCACTCCACAGTCTTTATTTCTAGACAAGAAAAAATGTACTCATTATTATTATTATTGTTATTGAAACAGAGTCTCACTCTGTCTCCCAGGCTGGAGCGCAGTGGCACGATCTTGGCTCACTACAACCTCCGCCTCCTGGCTTCAAGCCATTTTCCTGCCTCAGCCTCTGGAGCAGCTAGGACTACAGGCATGTGCCACCATGCCCAGCTAATTTTTCTATTTTTTTAGTAGAGACAGGATTTCACCATATTAGCCAGGCTGGTCTCGAACTCCTGACCTCATGATCTGCTCACCTTGGCCTCTCAAAGTGCTGGGATTACATGGGTGAGCCACCGAGGTTTAGAAGACATGGAAGTATAGACATTTCTTTCTTGTACAGACATTTCTTTCTTTTTCTTTCTTTCTTTTTTTTTTTTTTTTTTTGACATGGGGTCTTGCTCTGTTGCCCAGGTTGGAGTGCAGTCCTGTTATCTTGACTCCCTGCAACCTCCGCCTCCCGGGTTCAAGTGATTCTCCTGCCTCAGCCTCCCGAGTAGCTGGGACTACAGGTACCTGCAACCACACCCAGCTAATTTTTGTACTTTCAGTAGAGACAGGGCTTCACCATATTGGCCAGGCCGGTCTCGGATTCCTGACCTTGTGATCCGCCCCCCTCAGCCTGCCAAAGTGCTGGGATTACAGGTGTAAGCCGCCGTGCCCAGCAGATGTTTCTTAACAGTAGAAATACAGAAGAAAAAGCAAGATCATGAGGAGACTGGCAGTTGACTGCAGGGCACTGCCAACTCCCTTGGTGATGGCATTAGCTGGTTTTGGGGCAGACAAGGTACCTTGGGAGTAGTTACTTGAAAACGTCACAATAGTTGGATCTGAATAAATCTGCATGAGTAGGAGCGATGCCAGAAGCAGCAGCTCTACCCTGAGCCTGTCCACCCTTGTTCTGTCCCCTCCATTGGTGTCTGGGTTATCTTGCTGGATGCTGGATGAGAACTGCTGGCTCCGGGTGGACACAAGCAAGACCTAGCGTCAGAAATCACACAAAGTGGCTGGGGACTATGGCTCACGTCAGTAATCCTAGCACTTTGGGAGGCCAAGGTGGGAGGATCACTTGAGGCCAGGATTTGGAGATTCGCCTGGTCAACAGAACAAGACCTCACCCCTGTTTTTTAAAAATTAAAAATAATGTAAAATTATAATAAAAAGGAAATCAAGCCTGGGCAACAGAGCAAGACCTCATCTCTATTTAAAAAAAAAAAATAGCTACGTGTTGTGGTGCACACCTGTGTTCCAGCTGTTGGGGAGGCTGAGCTGGAGGGATCGCTTGAGCCCAGGAGGCTGAGGCTGCAGTGAGCCGTGATTGTGCCATGGCACTCCAGCCTGGGTAACAAAAACCATGTCTCAAAAAAAAAAAAAAAAGCAGGGAAATCACATACATAATGTCACTTATGCCAGAGTTAGTCTGCTGAGCCACGATTCTAAGGGAGGTACAAACACCCCACTTCTGAAAGGGAGGAATGTCAAAATTACATTGTAGGAAGAGCATACAGGATGGGAGACACTGTCATGGCCATCTTTGGAGAATGAAATCTGCCAGACCAGGGAACCTGAGCACCACTAGAACAAATTTAACAACAATTAATCAATGACTGCAGCCTCATCTGATTCCTCGATACCACCACTGGTCAGTCCTAGAACATTTCTCTGCTAAACTTGATTCAATGTGCAATGGTTATTTCAAATCTTCACTGTAGAAGGCACTGTGTATGTCTTTCCTAATACTCATTCCCAACCTCCCTTTCCCCTGTTTATGCCCTTTAGGCAAAACTAAATACTTTCCTAGCCTCTCTCGAGTCTTTGTGACACAATTCTGTCCAGTGAGATGTAAGCAAAAATGGGCACAGGGACTTCCGGCAAGCTTTCTCCTTGAATGGGAAAACGATGCATGAAGACGACCCTCAAGAGAAGGTCAATTACATAAGTATTGGCCCTGATGTCATCGAGCCACTCAACCAATGCTGTTGTCTTCCTCCAGGCCTTCTCTCCTGTGAGAAAATAAACCCTCGCTTGTTTAAGCCACTGAGAGTCAAGCTTTCTGTTGCTCTTAGAGGATATAAGCATTCTCAATTCCCTGCTCCTCTACTTTCTCTCTCTCTCTTTTTTCTTTCTTTTCTTTTTTTTTTTTTTTGAGACAGAATTTTGCTCTTATTGCCCAGGCTGGAGTGCAATGGCGTGATCTCGGCTGACCGCAACCTCCGCCTCCCGGGTTGAAGCGATTCTCCTGCCTCAGCCTTCCGAGTAGTTGGGACTACAGACTACAGACATGCACCACCAAGCCCGGCTAACATTATATATATATATATATATATATATTTTTTTTTTTTTTTTTTTTTTTTTAAGTAGAGACGGGGTTTCACCATGTTGACCAGGCTGGTCCCCAATCCCTGGCCCCGTGATCCACCCGCCTCAGTCTCCCAAAGTACTGGGATTACAGACGTGAGCCACCGTGCCCAGCTACTTTCTTTCTTTCTTTTTTTCTTTTCTTTCTTTCTTTTTTTTTTTTGAGATGGAGTTTCGCTCTCGTTACCCAGGCTGGAGTGCAATGGCGCAGTCTCGGCTCACCGCAACCTCCGCCTCCTGGGTTCAGGCAATTCTCCTGCCTCAGCCTCCTGAGTAGCTGGGATTACAGGCACGCGCCACCATGCCCAGCTAATTTTTTGTATTTTTAGTAGAGACGGGGTTTCACCATGTTGACCAGGATGGTCTCGATCTCTTGACCTTGTGATCCACCTGCCTCGGCCTCCCAAAGTGCTGGGATTACAGTCGTGAGCCACTGCGCCTGGCTACTTTCTTTCTTTGTAACAGCCTTCAGCTGCTAATTCTCCCTTTCCTGCCACCAACAGCCTACTTAACTACCTACTTCCCTGCACCCACAGCCATCTTTATTTCCTCCTTCTCTCCTGTTACAATGGAAGAGGGCTCCCTACATGGACGGGGGAGTGGGAGTAAATGGAAAGATGCTAATCTGGCATCCATTACAAATTCATCTTTCAGTTTTGGTTTTCTTACTCATCCACACGTTAGTTCTGGGCCTGTACCACTCATCAGTTATGTGCCTTAAACAGGCCATTAAAGTGGCAAATATTTATTGAGCAGATTCTAAGCTGTGCCCAAAACGGCACTGCGCTAGGTGGTGGGAGTTTCTAGGGCTAGGAAACAGACGCAGTCCAAGTAGAGAGAAAAATATTTACAAGACAGGGGAATGGAGCCTTGGAGGAACTGAGCTATGCGGCTGGGAGGGCCGAGAATGTGGGAAGGGCGCGGCAGAAGGGGCTAGGAGGTAGGCGTGGGCCACAGCCAGCTGGCTTCCATAGCCTAGGGAGGGTAGTGATTTTGGTTTTAATCCTAAATCATTGCGACAGGAAGTGAATTACTCTCTGAGCCTCCGTTTCTACCTCGAAAAATACGTTTTAGAACCAACTCCTGTACTAGATTGAGAATTATGGAGAAGGATTTTAAAAATTCATTTCCGCATCACCAGCGCCCAGCACAGGGTAGGCGCTTAATCAATGCCTGTTCGGTGAATAAACGAGATTGGGGACTCCTCCACAGACCTCTGTCATCAAGCCACCCAGTCGGCAGAGTTTTCCTTCTCCGCGTGCCTTTCCTTCCCTCCCCCTTTCTCGCCCTCCCTCCCTCTCCCCTCCCACGCCCCTCCCCCCTCCTCCCCCCTCCTCCCCACTCCTCCCCCTCCCATCCTCTCTGGGCTTCCTCCTCCCCTTCCCGGCCCCGCCTCCCGCTGCGTCGCGAAGGCGGGGGAAGGCGAGGCGGGCTTTACGGCAGCCGCGTTGCGGCGGGGCGGGGCGCCGGGCCGCCGGGCCGCAGGCGCGCTTGGCGGCAGTAGTGGGAGGCAGGCTGGCAGGCAGACGGACTCGCAGGCGGGTGGCGGCGGCGGCCGTGCTTGTTAGTGAGGGCGGGAGGGAGTGACTCACTGAGCGTGTGTGAGGGAGGGAAGCGAGCGAGCAACCCGCGCCGTCCTCCCGCAGCACCAGCCAGGCCACGCCGCCGCCTCTTCCCCTGCGCCCAGCGCCCAGGCCGGGCTGAGCCGAGCCGAGCCGGGTCGGGCCCGGGCCATGCTGCTCACCGTGTACTGTGTGCGGAGGGACCTCTCCGAGGTGACCTTTTCCCTCCAGGTCGACGCCGACTTCGAGCTGCACAACTTCCGCGCGCTGTGCGAGCTCGAGTCTGGCATCCCCGCAGCCGAGAGCCAGGTACGCCGGGCAGCGAGCGGGGCCTGCCCCGGAGCTAAGCCCTCCCCGCCTTGGGGCCCCACTCTCTCCCTTCGCTACTGGTGAAGAATAGGGGGCTGGTGGGGGAGCAGGGATAGCCATTCTTAGCTCACCCCGGCATCCGGGATGGAGCTGGGGAGCTGGCATCGGTAGCTGCCCTCACACACCCCGAACGTGGGGTGGGGTGGGGTGGGGTACGAGGAGAGGGAGCGGAGAACCTGACCGCAGGCGCACCCACTGCAACGTGAGGGGCGCTTGGACTGCTGAGCAGCCCTAGCCCTCCGCACCTTTGCCTCTTGGACCCCCTTTTCTCTTTCCGATCCCCAATATGGGATATCGCTGTGGACCTCAGAAACAGCTCTGGGTTTGCTAGGGTTCATATATCCTGCAAACCAGAAATACCAGTTTGGATCACTGTGGTAGATAGATGTTCTTCTGCTTTTTTTTTTTTTTTTTTAAAGAGGGTTTCTGATTAAATACACGCAGTTTGCCTTTAAATACACAGATTTGCACTTCCGGTGAAAGAAAAAAAGTTTTAGACGTGCACTACCTCGTTTTGGGGTCTTTGGAAGTGCTCTTTTACCCACGGTATGCGTTTCTGGTTAAATTCTTTTGAAAAACAGTACCTATTGGTTCAGCTCAAACTGTTTCTTTCAGTTCTACCCTGGTAGGAAGCCAGAAGGCCCTTTTTCTTTCAGGTCACAGTTCAGAGTTTGGGTCAGTTCAAAGCTCAGTGCTTTAAAAGGATATTTACTTGGAAACGGCCTAGTATCATTGCTGTTTGGTGGTTTCATTTCCCTACTCAGCTTGCTGGAAAGAAGTTCAGCCTCATATTTTAAGCAAAGTAATTCTTAAAGTGCTTTGGGACTGCTATCAGTCTTCGTCAGTGGGAAGTGACAATAATGCTGTAACCTTAACACTAAAACATTTAGATTGTGACTTGATAAAGTTAGCCTGGAGGACATAGTCTAAACATTAAGAAAATTATAGAGGTCTCCCAAAGCTCCGTAATGTAAATCTTGATTTTCTACTGCAGTTATGAAATAGTTTCCAAACCGATTGCCCAACTACAGCTTGTTCTGCTGTCTATGGTAAACAAATGTGTCAATACGTTGTTCAGAAGTATGATTCCTTTACACAATGTGAACTTTAGAACCTTGGCATAAAGCTATTCAGAAAGAATTTTGAAAGTTAATCCACAAAAGCTCAGGAACCAGTTCCTGTCAGTGAATGCCTCGTGGAGAAGTAGGAAAGGACTGTTTATTGTTGTTTTTTTTTTTTTACACGGAGTTTCACTCTTGCTACCCAGGCTGGAATGCAATGGCACCGCAACCTCCGCCTCCTGGGTTCAGGCAATTCTCCTGCCTCAACCTCCTGAGTAGCTGGGATTACGGGCACGCGCCACCATGCCCAGCTAATATTTTGTATTTTTAGTAGAGACAGGGTTTCACCATGTTGACCAGGATGGTCTCGATCTCTTGACCTCGTGATCCACCCGCCTCGGCCTCCCAAAGTGCTGGGATTACAGGCTTGAGCCACCACGCCCGGCTGGAAAGGACTGTTTAAATAGAGAGGGGAAATCAACTCTTCACTGTTTTTTTAATTTATTTATTTTTTAGACGGAATCTTGCTCTGTCGCCCAGGCTGGAGTGCAATGGTGCAATCTTGGCTGACTGCAACCTCCACCTCCTGGGTTCAAGCAATTCTCCTGCCTCAGCCTCCAGAGTAGCCGGGACTACAGGCGCAGGACGCCACGCCCAGCTAATTTTTGTGTATTTTTTTGGTAGAGATGGGTTTCATCAAGTTGGCCAGATTGACCTCAAACTCCTGACCGCAAGTGTTCCAGCCTCGGTCTCCCAAAGTGCAGGGATTACAGACAGGCATGAGCCACTGTGACTGGCTGACTCTTCAATTTTTTGAAGAGTGTGTGTGTGTTTTTTTTCTCTAGCTGTTATATTACCCTGGTTATAATCACTTGGTAGGGAAAATAAAAAAATAAAATGTAAATTGGTTTTGTTGTTAGGGCTTGGGAAAAGACAAAGGTTGAGTTTTTTCCCATTTATGCACTTGTGATGGCTTTAACAAGGAATTTAAGTAAAGTAAAGGGATATCTGATGCCTCCTTTAATTTACTTAAATTTCTTGTTACAACCATCACAAAAGACAATTTATTGTGTGATCAGGGCAGGCATTGCTCTCTGCCAATTGGGAAAGTTAGGAATACCTTAGTAATTGAATATAGGCTAACTCAAAATTCTTTCTTGTGCATTATGTCAGTGCTACGGCATTTACTTCTTTCCCAAGCCAAATTAGCATATAGAAACTTAGGTTCCAACTGGTGTTAAGCCTGTATTAGATAGCCATAAACAGCTCCTGTTTTTCCAGTCTGTTCTGTTGGCTCCATTGTAACCTGACAACACAGTATCTATTTTAAGGTGTCTGGTGGTCGGTTGTCTTTCACTTGCTTGCCCATCAGGCAGGAACAGGATCCACCCTAGACACTTGAGTCATTTCCTTTCATCAAATCATAAAAGTAAACATCATTATAGTTTTTACCACAAATATATCTGTTCACTTACTTGAGTGCTCCCCGCCCCCATCACCTCCCGTGGTTCTCTCATATTACTCATCTTCGCTTCCTTTCCTACACTGTTTAACTCCTCCTCTTGTTTACCCTCTCCATTCCCATTCCTTCACCTCTCATTTCTGACTCCATTTCCTGGCTATTTTTTCCTGCCACTATGTGTCCAGACCACTGGTGTCCAAACTTACATTCATGTAGCATTAACAGTGAAATGTTTCAGATTATGCTGTTATTATATAATACATTATATACATGAACAGATACGTTGTATGCATTATATATGGGCATGTATAATACATGATACACAAAACATGTTATATGCATTATATATGCATATAATACATTATATATATAAAGTAATGTTGTACACAGACAGAAAATGGAATTAAGGATGAACTAAAGTCGAAATTAAAATTCTAATACTCGGCCGGGTGCGGTGGCTCATGCCTGTAATCCCAGCACTTTGGGAGGCCGAGGCGGGTGGATCACGAGGTCAAGAGATCGAGACCATCCTGGTCAACATGGTGAAACCCCGTCTCTACTAAAAATACAAAAAATTAGCTGGGCATGGTGGCGCGTGCCCGTAATCCCAGCTACTCAGGAGGCTGAGGCAGGAGAATTGCCTGAACCCAGGAGGTGGAGGTTGCGGTGAGCTGAGATCGCGCCATTGCACTCCAGCCTGGGTAACAAGAGCGAAACTCCGTCTCAAAAAAAAAAAAAAAAATTCTAATACTCTTTTTCTTTCTATACCCTTGAAGAATTGTCTTGCCCTGCATTAGTGATGACTGGTCTAGAATTCAGTGTCATTTGTGCATGAGCATACAGTTGGAAAAGGTGTTAATTTTTAATAGCTCTAGTCTGATTATAGTAGGTATAATGCAGTGGTAACAAGTTTAGAACAGAAGCCATCTCTACTTGTACATGTGATTAAAGCTGGGCATGTTCCGTCTCTTAATAGAAGTGTGGGCTTGGAAGCCAGTCATGGCTCTGTTTGATGCTTTGATGCAGACTTGTCTGGGTGAACTTCAAACAGTTATCAGAACTAAGCTTCACTTTAAATTAATGTGGTCATAGTTTTGAAACATCATGATAATTTACCTCTGTAGGTGGCATATGGACAAAGTATGCAGAACATAAAAGGACCCTCAAATGAAAGGCAAATAATATCAGTAAACTGGGCAGGGAGTGGTGGCTCATGCCTGTAATCCCAGCACTTTGGGAGGCCAAGGCAGATGGATCACCTGAGTTCAGGAGTTCAAGGCCAGCCTGGCAAACATGGTGAAACCCTGTCTCTACTAAAAATACAAAAATTAGCCAGGTGTGGTGGTGCATGCCTGTAATTCCAGCTACTCGGGAGGCTGGGGCAGGAGAATTGGTGGAACCTGTGAGGCAGAGGTTGCAGTGAGCCGAAATTGCGCTGCTGCACTCCAGCCTGGGCAACAGAGCGAAACCCTCTTAAAAAAAAAAAAAAAAAAAAAGGCAGTTAACTGTATGATCTTGGAAATGCACACAGCATGATTTGTGGTTTGTAAACTAGTATTTTTATCTTCTGTGTAGTTTTTGTTTTTTGTTTTGAGACAGGGTTTTGCTCTTTCACCTAGGCGGTAATACAATCACAGGTCACTGTAGCCTCAACTTCCTGGGCTCAAGTGATCCTCCCACCTCAGCCTCCCAAGTAGCTGGGACTACAAGTGTGTATCACCACATCTGGCTAATTTTTAAATTTTTTGTAGAGATGGAGGTTTCACTATGTTGGCCAGGCTGGTCTCAAACTTCTGACCTCAGATGATCCACCTGCCTTGGCCTCCCAAAGTCCTGGAATTACAGGCGTGAGCCACTGTACCTGGCCCCAAATTAATAATTTTCAAAGGCTACATAATATGCCATCATATAGATATATTGTAATTTATTTAGCAACCTTCCTTTTGTTGGGCATAATATTGGGGAAAATTGGAAGCAGTTGTAAGTAACATTGCCATGAACATCCCTATATTTAAGGCTGTATCCTCCATTTCTGTTACTTTATCAGGGTAGATTATTAGATATGTGGTTGCCAGATCAGAGGTATAAACTCTTTGAAAAGTTTTTAGTAACTGTTGCGGAATTGCCTTCCAGAGAGTTAGGCTTTTAGTAACTGTTGCCAAATTGCCTGCCAGGGGGTTATTATACAAGTCGAACTGGCTATTACATGGGGATAGATATTACATATCTATTATATGTAGTCAACTTGGTATATAGTGGGCATTTGATTAATGCTAGTATGAAGCCATTCATATATAGTTAACAGGTGTTTTGTGGCCAGTTTATGATCCTTATTTTATCTTTATTCTTTATTTTTTAGAGATGAGGTCTCACACTCTAGCCCAGGCTGGAATGTAGTGTTACAATCATAGCTTACT